ATAGATGAGACCGCTTGGCAAGATCATTTCCTAGACACAAGATAGAATCAATATGCTGATGATATGCCACCATATAACTTTTCCCCATGGTCTCTGCATGTTCATTCTCTGCTTCGAGGAGTTCTCGGGTAATATTGCCAACTAGAAGCACTGAAGCTGCCTTTTCCTCAACCCTCAGCTCAATTTTTCTGCTGGATAGAGGCTGTCCTCCTCCAGGTCTCCAGCTGGCTAAACATTGCCTTTCCACATGAGTTGCGAAAGTGTTTTTTTGCAGTGGTGCAAATTGCACAGGCTATGCTACCTGCCCCGGTGTCCTCAAGACTCAGTCAGTTCAGTGCATTCTGCAGCAGTCCAAATGGCAGGGTTTCTCGGTCACTTGTAGCTTATTCAGAATGCAGCAATAAGCACATTTGCTCACTAGTTTAAACATTCTTGAGCACATTATACCCACCCTGCATCCTCCACAGTGGCTGCTGCCAAAGCGGTGGGATGAGTGATGGCTGGTTTTTAACTCCCTTAGTGGCGAAGGTGCTGGCTACACTTACGACTTCCTCTTTGAGACTTGTCCTGATGAGAGGTGTCTGGGGTCATACCTCCTCCTCCTTTTAGGTATCCTACTACTGCACCTTATATTAGTAAGTGATTGTACTTTTGCTGTGCTTGGTTTAGGTTGTGGAACATATTACACCTTGAAAACAGTTTCAAAACATTTTGCTTTTAAAAAAAGACATACACACACACACACATTTTTAATGACGATACAATAAATCTCATTACTATGATATACTGGAACATCATTAAGGAATTGGATAAGAGTGGAGAGTATGCTTATAAAAATTGCATATGACACAAGGCTGGGAGGAGTTTCAAGCACTTTGGAGGACAGGATTAGAATTCAAAAGGACCATGATCAATTGGAGAATTGGTCTGTAATCAACAAGATGCAATTCAATAAAGATCAGAGTACTACACTTAGGAAGGAAAAATCAAATGCACAAATACAAAATGGGAATAACTGGCTAGGCAGTAGTATTGCTGAACAGGAGCTGGGACTTATAGTGGATCACAAGTTGAATATGAGTCAACAATGTGATTCGATTGCAAAAAAGACTTATCATTCTGGGGTGTACTAACAGGAGGAGAGCCACAAATATGATAGATGTTTTAGACAATCTGCTCTTGAGAAAAGGAGTCTGAGTGGGGAACCTGATAACAGTCTTCACATATGAGAAGGGCTGTTACCAAGAGGACAGTGATCAGTTGTTCTTCATGTCCACTGAAGGAAGGACAAGAAGTAATCGGTTTAATCTGCAGCAAGGGAGATTTAGGATAGCTAGAAAGGTAGTGAAGCACTGGAATAGGTTACCAAAAGAGATGGGGGAATACCCATCATCAGAGGTTTTTAAGAACAGGTTGGACAAACACCTGTCAGGGATAGTTTAGGTATACTAGGTCCTACATTTGTGCTGTGGAATGGGCTAGATGACCTCCCAAGGTCCCTCCCAGCCCTACATTTCTATATTTCTGTGTTTTCAATTTCTTTTCATCCAATGTTTTTTCAAATTATCACTCTTGGCCTCACGTCGATGACTCTTTTCTTTCTCCCTCCCCTCCATCCCTCCTTTTTTACCCCCTGCATATTGGACCAATTACATTTATTTTAAGTTTCATAGGGTAAAAATGTTATTATAATGAGTATATTTTAGTAAAGAGCTTTCTTGTGTTGTACTTTGCCCTGACCACCTTTGCAGGTGTCGCATTAATAAGTAAAATAGAGTTGTTATTAATTACTAGTAATGGAAACAATAAGGGATGCCAATGACAAACATTTGGTATTTCCCAGGAAGGAAATTTCATCTTGCCCGCCTTTAGATTTGCTGCAGTGTCTGGGTTCAGAAGCAAAATCCATGAGCCCCTCTAGTGATGTCTGCTCTCTTTTCCTTTCTGACTACTGGGGGAAATAGAGTGTGAAGGAGACAGTCTCCTTGTTGGTGGCACAATAGAGCACATTGGAAAGTAGAGACCAGGTCCAAGTGAATTAGGTAGAAAGCACTAAGGGCTATCACTGATATATCTCTGAAACTCACAATTCTGCCTGATAGCCAGCTGCAGCTCAGCACTTCTCTGACAGTGATTAATTACCATTTTCCCATGTTGCATGCTGTATTTGGTAATGCTCAGTAATTCTCCACAGTAATCAGCCCAAGCGGAATAGTGGCTCATCAGCTGATTTAATTTAAAGCACATTTCTTTTTTCATTGCCTCTCACATGTCATTAGTGCTGTGTGTTAGAAGCACCTCCAGTCTACAGGCTGGAATCAGCCTGAGAGTGCTCTCTTTCCAAGCCTGAATTCCCAGACACACAAATCTGGAAAAGAGTTTCAAAGGGATAGGTGATTAGTGGCTGATTTGGCTGCATTAAAATGGTCATTTGTTTATTGATGGCCTAATCTTGCAAGGCACAGAATGCCTCCTGGGAAGTGCTGAGCATCCTCAATGCCCGTGGACATCAGTGGGAGTGGAAGGCACTTAGCACCTCATAGGATCAATCCCTAACTCTGCAGATCTCTGGTCTCAGCAACCCCATTCATTCAGACCTTTGATTATGCCAGTGAACTTCATGTTCCCAGCTACATGTTGATACCCAAGGCTGTATTTTACCTCTGTAGCAGTTTACATGGTCAAAGTACTGTAGATTCACTTGATCCTCCACACCTCATGAGGCACCTATATAGGTTTGGAACATCAGCACTCCATACTGTGAGCTACAGAAGTGTGTTTGTAAGTGCTTCAGGGCAGGCACTGTATCTTCTGTCTGTTCTGTTAAGTGTCCACCACTTTGGGGGCCTGCCAAACAAATAATAAATAAAGCAAATCCCTTTTTTACAGACAAATCTCACAGGTGAAGGCCCAGATCCTCACTGAAAACAACTGTTGTTAGGTGCCTCAATTCCTGTGAAGACCTGGGCCTAAACATCTAGCTCAAGATCACAGAGTGAATCAGAAGCAGAGTCAGTGGGATGCTTTGGGGTTCAACCCAGATCAGTAAGGCGTTGTGTCGCCGCCTGCCCTGTAACCCTGGATGCCTCTGTGCTGTGGAGCTGCGGCTCAGAGCCCTGAGACCAGCCACGTGCTCACAGCACAATAGTCTGACCCCAGCTGGGTTACTCCTTGCAGGGTGACACCAACCGTGCTTCCAGCCCCAAGTTTCCCCTGTAGTGTCCAGTCCCTCCCACCGAAACACTCACAAAGCCTTATGTGTTTGCTGCTCCTTTAAAGAGCCAACAGCCCCAGCTTATTAGCTTGGCTGAGGAGTTCACTTTTCAGTTTGAAAGACCGCACTGGGATGGCTGTGTAATAAAACAAGCGTACGTTTATTAACAAAGAACAGCTATTGCAGTGACACCAAGGAAGGTCCCAAGTGATAGAAGGAGTTGGGAGAGAAATGGTTACAAACAAACCAAAGTAACAAACAAACAAACAATGCTTCTAAGACTAAAACCTAACTGAACAAACCAGAGTCTTTTGTTCAAAGTAAGTTTCTCACCACAGTTGTTTTTCCAGCATGGCTGGCCAGTTCTTAGTCGGAATCCAACACAGAGCTCAAAGTGCTTTGTTTCTTTGGGTCTGCCTCCATTGCAATAAAACATCTTTGGCTGGCCCAGACCAGCTGACTTGGGCTCATGGGGCTCAGTTCTGTGGGTATAAAACTGCAGTGCAGCTATTTGAGCTCAGGCTGGAGCCCAGGCTCCAAGAGCCTGTGAGAGGGGAGGGTCCCAAACAGGAGTGGCGGAAGTGTCCTAAAGGTGGGGGGCCACAGGCAGCTAAACCGTGGCCCCGCCCCCTGTGCTGCATCATCCTCCCCCCGAGGTCTCACCCCCACACTGCCCCTTCTCCACGTGGCCCCGCCCTCACACCGCCCATTCTCCACAAGCCCCTGCCCTCACGCCGCCCTTTCCCCGAGGCCCCACTCCTGCACCGCCTCTCCTCCCCAAGACCCGCCCCCTGTTCACTCCTCTTCGCCCCTCCCCCTGTCACTCACACTTATGGCCAGTAAAAAGTGGAAGGGAATAGCCTTCCCACTTTTAAAAGTGAGGGGGCCATGGCCCTCTGGCCTCCCTGTTCCAGTGCTCCTGGTTCCAGAGCCTGGGCTCCAGCCAAAACATTTAAAATGCAATTTTATAGCCTCACAGAACCAAGCCCCATGAACCTGAATCAGCTGACTCGGGTCAGCCACGGGTTTTTTATTGCAGTGTAGACATACCCTTTGACTTTTCAGGTGAAGGATGCCAAAATGTCTCTCTCTTTCTCTCTCTCTGCTTATATCTTCCAAAGGTCAATGACCTTATTTCAGGAAGCAGGAAGGTTTCCTGGAGCTGCAGCTTCCATCCCTCATTAAGTGACCATCCTCCACACTTGTTTGCCTGATGGCTTTGTCTACCTGGCATACAAACGTAATTTCATTGTCTCTCCTTGCTCAAGTTACACTGGAGACATATTCAAGCAGGTGGAACCACATTCCTTTGCCTGCCTGCCAAACACGCTTGAAGAACATATTTCCAGCACACATTTATAAGTTTTCATACACCACCTGTACGTACACCACACAATAATGTTGACCAGCATGTTGCCAGTTTGCATATGATACCTTACATGACACCCTTTAGATACAGATGATGACAAAAGTGAGTTGGGGTACACTGAGCCGGTCAGGCCAGCTGATACTCACTGCTACATACTGGGGAGCCCCGGGCCCTCTGGATGCTCCTACGGTCACAGCCAGGATTAGAGCTCAGGAGTTCCTAGCTCCGACTGCCATTCCTCGTCCAATAGGCCATCCTACCCCTCACTGCAAGCTGATACAGGGTTCAAAGATCTTGGTTTGGTTTTGGCTTCTTCTGAATTAGGTTGACTGTACTTACCATGAAACATCAGGGCAAATATAAAAAAGGCCTTAGTAAATAGCAATATCCCTTTTTATTTACGGTTATTATTTACATATTCAGCAATATTATTGCTTGGCTGATGTGCAAGAGAAGATACATTTTCTTACACGGGTAATTGTACACATCATTAGCATTTCACAGAAACAATACTTCAGCCAGCATCTGTACTCAATTTACAATCAAATTACATGAAAACGCGGCATTGTTATATACAGCACTTTATTGAAATAAAGACTAGCTTTCATCTACAGTGTGTGTGCATTTGTTTTTTCAAAACATTGTCATTCAAAAGCACGCTGTCAGCACTGCGGCTGTACAGGGTTAGTTCAGTCATTCAAACTGGGTTTTGCATGTTTTTATGCATCTCGTTATTATACAGGTTTCATTTATTAAAAATAAGGCAACTGGAGTCAATAATTGTCACTGAATGAAAGTAAAACAGTGAGAACATTCTGGATAACAGTCATCAGTGCAGCTGATAGCTATTAAAATGTTCTTGTGCTGTTACCCAAAGCAGATTTTATCTCTCATTTCTGTCTGTTCCAACGTGCATCTCGTCTCATTGGCAAACGCTTTGCTTTAATTAGCTGAGGTCTTGCTTCAGTCTTTCGCATGTCAACCAGCCTCTGTACACTTTCATATTTTTAATCAGTAGCCTGTTGTCTTTACTTTGTCATTCACACTAGCAGATAAATCTGCCCCTTTCATGATCTTCGCTGCTTGGTTGAAGTCTTTACTTCAAAACATGCTGTTTAATTTTCCTGTTCACTGATTTCCATTTGTTTCATGTTCAAATGATGGCCCCCTCCCCTGCTTGAGCATGCTGCATGCATTAAACTAGTGTGAACAGAAGAGTGAATGCCAAAAAGGCAATCCTCTTTCGTTTCACCTATGAATGAGAGTTGTTCTACCCTGTTATGGGATTCTCACTTTAACAGTGTGCTCTCTGTGTGTGTATGGGTACAGTCCGCCTAAATACTACGGCACTATCAGCATCCCACAAGCTGACACAGATTCTCCCATAATTGCTAAGATATTGGGTGCAAAAGTTTGTGGGTTTGTACACATCGGGGCTTTTTTTAATTTAACAGACTGCTGCAGAATATTTAACTTCAACCAATGACGAATGCAGAAGTTCCAGACACCAATAATAAAAGTACTGTAACTATACTTGAAAGAAGGAGAAGGTGACCGCGTGGTATCCTGCTGCTTTTACATTTTCCGGTTCATAGGAGGGGAATCCAAGGATGACCGAAAACGTCTACCAGTTGGGGTGGCTGGGGTTGATGTCTGCGCTTGTGGCTGAGTGCCAAATTGAGTTTGGAGACTGCTCAGGATGTCATCAAGCTTTTGGTCCATCTGTGTGACCTGTTAGGAAATCACAAAGCGGATGGTCTATCAGATGGTCACACACCCTCTGCCTGTTCACTCATGCTTACCTACATGTATTTTAAAAGAGAATGGCGGTGCTGCTGCAAAGGGGCAGCCTGATAATATTGGAAATAGAAATATTTTGTACAGCACTGGCATCTTCACAAACCCATGTAAACCAAATACAAAAAACAAGAGGCTTCTACAACTCCCCAAACCACTGTGTTGTGCACAGTTCTGTGCTTAGGCTAATGTGAAGATCAAACCTTACGCCGGGGTGGCCAACCTGAGCCTGAGAAGGAATCAGAATTTACCAATGTACATTGCCAAAGAGCCACAGTAATACGTCAGCAACCCCCCAGCAGCTCCTCCCCGCCCAGCACTTCCTGCCCACTGGCAGCCCCGCCGATCAGCGCCTCCTCTTCCCTCCCCGCACCTCCTGATCAGCTGTTTTGTAGCGTGCAGGAGGCTCTGGGGAGGCGAGAGGGAGAAGCGAGGGCACTGCAGGCTCAGGGGAGGAGGCAGGAAGGGGTGGAGTGGGGACAGGGCCTGCAGCAGAGCCAGGGGTTGAGCAGTGAGCACCCCTCGGCACACTGGAAAGTTGGCGCCCGTAGCTTCAGCCCCAGAGTCGGTGCCTATACAAGGAGCCGCATATTAACTTCTGAAGAGCCGCATGTGGCTCCCGAGCCACAGGCTGGCCACCCCTGCCTTACGCTATAATAAAGTCACTGGGAAACCACAGAAATAGCAGATTAGTGGTCCTAGAAAGCAGGCCCAGCAAAGGCTAGTTGAGTCATCCCCTCTGGCTCTCTGCATTTTGCAGCATTCCCAGAAGTGCCTTATTATTATTATTCTATTTTAGATCATCTGTAGGGAGGGTGCCTCCTTTGAAGATCTGCTTTGACAATCTATTTCACTGCTCAAATTATCTTAATTCCTCCCGCTCCTCCCAGGTCTATTTTACACTTCTGCCTTCCTCAGATTTAGGCCATTATTCCATATTTTACTATCTTGGGACACTGAATGATCCCCTTCCTACATTTATGATAGACAACTCTGTGATATGTATTATGATTGGCGATTTAGTTAGTACTATGTGCATTTATGTACATCATTCGAAGGCTGGCCTATAAAGAATATTGGAGCTCTAGTTTGCTGGTAAATTATGGATCTATGGTATAAAGACTAACTTTATATTAGAAGCCTATAAAAAATATCGGAGCTCTAGTTTGCTGGTAAATTATGGATCTATGGTATAAGGACTAACTTTCTATTAGAAGCTTGATTTTGATCGCTCCTTTCACTTCATTAAATCACTGGCTTACCAGACTAATTTTCTAATGCATGTTCTCTAGACAGAGAAGAACTTTTTACTTTTTCTGTTGACGGCTGGGTTCTATCCAACAAGGTGCCTTGGAGATGCAAGTTTGAAAAAACAAGAGGGTTATTTTGCTTTTGGAAAAGTCTTCTCGTGTGTATGAAATGTCATTTCAAACATGATTTGGGCCAAGATTTTCAAAAATGAGTCCTGGTTTTGGGTGCTCAACTGAAGGCTCCTTGAAGGGACCCGGTTTTCAGAGGGTGGACGTGCACTTTCTGAAAATCATGCCCCTTCAAGGTGTGTCAAGCTGGACACTAACAAAAATGGAGGCACCCCAAAATCACTAATCATGTTGAAAAATCTTGGCCTCGGCCCAGAAACTCCACATTGGTATTATTCAGTCATTGCTGAGGGATTGGTCCACACTACAAAATGTTGCCACCTTCAGCATCTTATGAGCGAATCATGATTAAACCTGCAGCATTCCATCACGATTATCTGACACGATGCTGAACATGAATTGTTCTGGGCTCCTGTGACTGGAAAGTCCTGGTCAGTATCATGTGAGCTGCCTCAATTGTTCGCAACAGGGCTCGAATGCAGTACAGCTTGGTAGTGCAGGCAAGCCCAAGGAGAATAGTATTTTAAGGAATGTTGGATGGTTCATTTTGGAGTTATCTGATGTGAAACTCTGAACCTTTGAAAACTCTGATCCATCCCCACTGGGTCTAATGATGGTTGAACCTTTAAAGTGATATTGGATCTAAACAAAGCTTTCATTTAAAAAAATATTTCTAGCCTTTTTTGTTTTTTTAAAAAGATAGCTGAGGAAATTTACAATAGCTGCCAGGATTGAACATCTATCAGGTTGAGATTTCTTTGAAAAACAACAGTAGCACATTATTCACTCTCCTACCCCCACCTGCTCTCATTATACTCACCCACTAGCCACCAGAATGCCTACGTAAGTTACATCACCGTGGCTGCCGGTATCTTTACATATAGACAACCTGCCACTTGGTGGGAAAGGCAGTGGTGGAGATCTGCCCCCCCAACAGAGAGACAGACACACTACAGTCTCCCCGCTGAAACCCCTGCCCTTTAATTCAGTGATTCTCTCAACAGTGCAACCAGGAGAAACTGGCCATGCTCCTGCCAGACCCTAAGCAGTGGTGCTTCCTGTCAGCCCTGGAGGAGATAGAATGGGATTAAATCTCTCTTTTAGCAGCAGAAGCTGCATTCCTTCCTTCACCATGCTAAACCCCTGCAGGGGCAATTAGGTAGGAGCAGAATTTCATTTCCACACATCTCCCTGCTTGAAGGCGCGAACAGGGTGGTATCTCCCACTACAACAGCATCATTTCTACCACAGAAGGGTTCAAAAGGGAAAAACAAAAATCACAGGTCTCCAGGACAATTTGTTATTAATTTATTTCCTGTATATGGTACAGAAACAGCACTGTCCACCACTACCCAGAAAAACCTTATTACTTAATCAACACTCTGTATACCAACCAGAGACCCACTGTATCTAAGATCTCCATTCCGCCACACATCCCTATATGGATCTGAAGGCAGCACCCTTCAGAAACAGGTCCGATGTGTGCCTGTACCCCAGCCACTCTGCATAAATTGATGAGTGAAGTAAGAGTACCATCATTAGCAAAAGACACTGAGGCATATGGGTAGAATGCATTACCTCTTCTTGTGTAATCAAATGTTGCAAAAGCTTCTAAAGTTCCTGTAATATTTATAATAGACCCATCTCCCCATAAAGTGGGTTGGCTTCAGGGTAGAAGGTCAGAGTTAAGGTGACTGTGGAACCTTAACTCCACATGGTTAACTTTCAAACTTTTATTTTTCAGCAGCTATTATGTTCTAGTAATGCTAGCTTAAAATAACTGATTTACAACCTTAGTGAAGTTAACTCCAACAGTTGCCATAGACCTTTTATAGCTGGCTATATAACATTGTCACAACAACCAGGGACGCGGGTATGGCATGAACCTTTTGCTTTGGATTCTAAACTGCTAAAGACAGTCTGGGGTTGGAATTGGTTTGAGTGGAGGTGAGTTTTCAGAGACTCATGTTTCAGTGGTTAGAGGGTTTAGAAACCTTACTAATGATCTTAGAGGTTACTCAGGGACATAACCCTTAGTCCTGAGTCTGTTATGAAAAAAAGCGGGGGAGGGGTGGTATTTGGTGGTAGTGTCTCTAGTTTTTATTACAATCTCTAAAAGAAAATCCACCCAATTCCCTTGTTGGTGGCTGACAGGTCTTTATTGGAAGCCAATAAAACCTTGACTCATCTTATCTCAGATTTTTATCTGGCAATTATAGAGTACTTTGAATACAATGGGGCGGATTTTCCCCGTGTCTGAGCACTGCTTGGGACAGAAAGGGGAGTGGAATGTCACCTTGCTTGTTACAGCTCCCTGATTCTCTGGGCTAGCCTGTGCTGGTCCTGGCCTAGGGTGAGTTAGAGCTGCCTCAGTGTTGCTCTAACTTATACTAGCAGCATGTGGTCCTTAAAGGACCAAACACTAACTGAAGATTGTCATGACAGAGTTCCATCCTCCTCCTGGCGCAACATGCCCCCTATACCATCTGCGGCACTCTGACCGTTTACTTGTCTTGTAACTCAGAAATCAGCCGGAAAGAGGTTGATGCTGTTACAGCAGCTCTCTCTCGAATTTGGTCAATGGTAGAAACAGACCTGTTCTCATTTCTTAACCCTTTGGAGCAATACATCAATGAAGTGACATGGGGGTGAATTTGGTCCATGCTGTCTGAAGCTCTGAAAACTTCTCATGGTTGGGGTAAGAGAATCCTGCCTTTCCTCTCCTCTGTGCCCTCTTTTTCCTCCTCTTCTTTCTGACCTTCTCCACTCCCATCTTCATCATAGCTGTTTACCGAGTGGTGGGACTGTGGGTCAGAGGTGAGCGGATGACAGGGACTGACAATTGAGTTAAGTCACTTATTGAACAGCTCATTGTTGAGGTATTATGATGTCACAGTGGTGGGTGTGTATGGATACATCTACATTGTAGCCGAGGGATAAAAATAGCAGCCTGTGTAGATGTACCAGTGCTAGCTGTACTCTGGCTTGCTCCTAAAAATAGAAGAGAGGATGGTGTGGGCTTCACACATCTCAAACTGGGGGCCGTGACCCCTCAGGGGGTCAGAAGGTTATTACATGGGGGGTTGCGAGCTGTCAGCCTCCACCCCCAAACCCCACTTTGCCTCCCATATTTATAATAGTGTTAAATATAAAAAAAAGTGTTTTTAATTTATAAGGGGGGGTCACTCTCAGAGGTTTGCTGTGTGAAAGGGGTCACCAATAAAAAAAGTTGAGAACCATTGGTCTGCACGAACTATAAACCACAACCCCAGCTGCAGTGTAGATGTAGCCCATGTGTGTAGAGTTCCATACACAGAGAAAAAATTATGGAGACCGAAAATCTGCATGTTCTGTTAAGCATGTATTCAGCTGGAAATCTGGAAAACACTAGAGTTGAAAGGGTTAAGCAGCCTGGAATTAATTTAAAAACCACAGCCTTGATTTTCTTGCTCCCCAGTTCTTGAAAAGCCTGTTTGGCTGATGCCAGTAGTGACTCAACAGAATCTTTCTTAAGCAGAAATAATGTACAGAGCAGAAATTAAACCAGAGTTACTA